AAATTTGAAACACCATCTATGGCATTGTATTCCGGGAGAACTTCTCCGTGGTAACATTCACTACAAGAAGATTCAGCTTTTGTATCAGAAAAATTCTGTTGCGAAATCTGTTGCAAATATTATTATTAACAGAATTTGAAACGAAATCTTACTATTAATGCTGCTAAGTATCCTTTCTTCTACTACTGTTACAAACGTCCTATTACACAAAATTTAATCCATTACCAAAAATATCAAATTTCTGTATCAATCTTTTATTGATTATTTTATCCTTTCTTTAAACTTATTTAATTTTTTAAGACATAAGGTTTAATTAATAATTAAAAAAATTGAGAAGGGTAACAACTTCTCCCATCCAAAAAGTAAATCATATAAAAATTGATATCATATCTCGCATCGCTAATGAATCAGGTGACGTAGTAGTTATCCGCAACTGAAACTTGGTTGATTGTTTTTTATTGATTCTAGAGGGTGTATGAGAATAATGTACAATTAATACATAAGAATAACTAGGAGATAAAACCCCAAGGGGTTGGCCTGGCGGTAAAAAAATGTTTGCTCTATTTATTGACTTCCTAGTTTAAATCACCTTGAGGCTACCTACCATATTTGTAACTTACCTTATAACATTGGGTTAGTAAGGTATTTAATGAGCACCGAAGATTAGCTGAGGTGCATATAAGCTGACCCAGACATCCCAGTAACAAAAAAAAAAAAAAAAAATAATAATAATAATAATAACTAGGAGATAAAAATAATTAATATGTAGATTCATTTTGTTAATAAATATATATAAATGCAGGAATCTATCAACTATCATAATAATAATATGCCATTCCATGCTACTAGTTTGCTTTGTATAAGTTAATTTGAGCTTTCTTCATGCTCCAGGCACTCAAACTTGTGATGTTTATCTTCTGAGTTCCATAATTGAATGCATAGAAGTGAGCCTCATCATCAGTTGCAGAGGTTGGATAAACTCTAGCTGTGATACAAGCTTTGACTCCTCCACCAAAACTCGAATTGTTTTGTAAATATTTGGGCCTGGAAGTGTTTAGCACAAATGTGATAAGGTTTACTATTATATGTGTACGGTAATAGTGAAAAAACCTAGTTTGATAAACTATATTGAGAGAGAGAAAAGGAAGATTGAATTGTCGTTGTTACTATTGTATTGCTGCAGTTCTTTAAAAATCAATAAAAACTTTTCTATCTTGAATGCTGGACGTAGTTCGTGAACAAACCAGGGTAAATCGATTGTCTTCTCTACTTTTCTGTTTCATTATTTTGTATGTTTGTGGCGATTTTTTTTCAACAGAAATGCATCAGTTAGAGAAGTTATACGGTTTCTGTGAACAGGTTTTGATGCTTAAAGCTGAAAAACTCCATGGCCAAGCAAGATAGAAAAGAACAAGAATGAAAAAAATACAGGAGTTGGCCATGTTATGCTAGCCCGAAAGGTTCAATTTGAGACTGAGAAGGGCACCAAATTGCAGGCCTCTTATTTGTTAGCAGTTACATGCAGAGTCAAATGAGCATTGAAAATTATGCGGAGAAAAATCATAAGTCCTACAGAGAAATATCCTGGAAGCAGTGTATGTGTCTTCACATTACAAAGTCAGAACTCAAGCTGTTTAACTTTTTCTTTATAGTGACAATGAAAATTGATACTTGTCTAGAAACTTGTGTTTTGGTTCAACTGGTCTTTCCCCATAATTGGGGGCGAATTGAACACAGAAATTTCCTTTTTTTGGAGCAATATCAAGGAATAATCCCTGCCTAGCTGTATACAGGTTTTTTCAGTTGCTTCGGTAGAAATAAATGTTCATGTTTCCTGAGAAGCACGCTAACATGAAATCTGAAATGAAAAAAATATCAGTCCATTAACCACTAGTAAAAGAGCAAAAAGAGTTTTCCCAACCTCCTGGCTTAAAGTTCTCGCAGACGCTAATAGAGTAGCTAGTAGCTACTAAAGGACTATCCGGTCAGACTTTTAGAACCCCAAAGGATTAGTTAAAGTATGTAAAAAAAAAATTATATATATAGTTGAAGTTGTCACTTTTTATCAAATGGACCTAAAATGTTTCAAAATTGTATCATGAATACCCTTTTCTCCTAACTTCTTTATGCTCTCATTTGTCATAGATGAGTGAAATGGTAGCTTTGGTCTTATTATCGTATTAGGGTAAAATGGTAATTTTAATCTTATTTGAAAGTGATTTGCAAATGTAACGGTAATTTGACGAGTTTAGGACAAAGGGGTATTTATGATAAAGTTTTTAAACTTTGATGGTCTATTTGATATACCACAGATGGGGATCCATGATACTGTTTTCAAACTTTGTAAGGGTTTATTTGATAAAAAGTATGAAAATTGTCATCAAATTGAAATTTGAAGCCTTAAAGTTATGAATGAAAACCTTCGAACCGTGATATCAACTTTATCAAGTGGGCACGGCCAGATCAATGCCCACTAAGAGCAAGTCGATTCATGGGCCAGGCTAATATAGGATGGCTAACCCTGATATCAATGGAAGTGGATACTGGACACAGAAAAAAGCCCAGAAGAACAATGCCATTCATGGGTGGGCTAATATAGGATTCAATGGGTTGAAAAGTCAAAATTTCAATAGTTTTGGACCTTTTGTCATATATTTATAAAATTTAAAAAGCAACAATGCTACGTTACACAAAAGTTGGTATCTCAAATTTACCTCTAACCCTGTGGAATGATTAGTAACATCCCTTAATTATAGGATGATAAGTCGACTGTCATATGGATTTAGATACAAAGTCAGGATTTAACTTTATATATGTAGCATTACTATACCCATCATGGGTAGTTCAAGTGGTGAGAAATAGAAAGAGTGTTGGAATGTGTGGTTAAGATACACGGTCTCAGGTTCGAATTCTCCTAGCTCTCAAGATAAGCATGTTTATAATATTAATTTATGTTAACAACATCAAATAGTTTATTTCTAAATATATAATATAGCAATCTGTATAATATGCCATTCCGTGGTAGCTCCTTTCTATTGCATCAGTTAATCCGAGCTTTCTTCATGCTCCAGGCACTCAGGTTGTGTGATGTTTATCTTCTCAGTTCCATAATTGAATGCATACAAGTGAGCTTCATCATCAGTTGCCATGGTTGGAAACTCTGGCTGTCATACAAGCTTTTCCTCCACCAAAAACTCTCCACTATAGAGTGATCATCTGCAAAAATGCAAGTGATTATTAAAACATTATCTTTACAGGAATGTTCCTGATCAACTTAGTCATATCACAGTTTCGATCCGATATGTCACCAAATCGATCAACTTAGTCATATTACAGTTTCGATCTGATAAGTTACCGAATCAATATTTTTGTTTTATGAAGTGTTGATATGAACTCACCAGGCTCTAAGTGACAGCTTGTCATGAACTGGATCCACATCCAGAAAAGCTCCATAGGTGGTCTTCTTATTGTCATTATCAAGGAAGAACTGTCATACAAAATAAAAGATTATATTAAAGGAAAACGAATATGTTAAAATAAGAAGGAAGAAGAGAGAAAGGAGGGAAAGAACCCCTTTGATCACTGCACATGAGAACTGCATATTTGTCTGGTTTTTGAAAATCTGAAGAACACTGCTGTGTATTCTTTCAAGTTCTTTGAAGCCAAAACTAGCAACCCAAATGGACCTAAAGCACTTTAACTGATGCACCCTTTTGGATACAGAGCGACTCTGGATCGGTCCAACTTGGATCCATCACTTCAGCCTTCTCAAATTCAGTTATTCTAAACGATATCTCAACATCTGCCTGCAAAAGAAAAGAAACAGAAAAAATGTACCATGTCATCATACGTCTATCTAATAAAACCTTATACTGTCGTCCATACAGACCTCTTCGTTGTACTTTGATTATAAACATAAGAGTAGCTAACCTGGCGGCTTTGATATTGCTAACTTCAAGCAAGGATCCTTCCCCTAACAATTTGCTTGGCAAATTACAGGGTTTTCTCGTAGCTTCTCAACTTCAGCTATAGGCCATTGCATCAATTGTTTCCCCGATTTGTCTAGCCAAAGACTCTAGGAACTGCCTGCAACATGAGTCCAAGCAACAGCGAGTTATTTTAAGTGTAAAGATTCCTGGAACAAGCCAATTTTTGCAAATTTACCTGTAATCCAGCTCATCCCTTCTTAACATTATCAGCTTCACTAGATAATTCAATTATCCATCCCCACAAAATCCGCCAGTTCTTAGCACTATCAAAGAAAGTCTTTGAAGCATAAAATTGCCCATAATCATATCTTAAAAGCTGAAACACCATCATGGAACCCTGATCCGGGATGAACTTGTCCGCAGTAACATTATATGTACCAATCATGTAACAATCATGCTGAGTTTTACTTACACTTGCCTTAAGCACATACCTGATGTTCAATCCAATCATCGCCTTAAGCACATACCTGATGTTCAATCCAATCATCGATGTATCAACACCCTTTTGACTATTATTCGAAACGGGAAGAAATCCGGGCACTCCCACATTCCAGTTTCTTCTTCAGAATGTAATGGTTGTTCAGCTTTGTCCAATTGACAAAATCTTTGCTTCTGTAAAGAATTGCCAATCCTGTGTTGTTAAATTGGCTTCCTATGATAACTCATGTGTCATCGGGGCCTAGCCAAGCAGTTGTAGGATTCAAATGAGCCTGGATCAATTTGTTAAGAGGTTCCATTACAGGATTTTCAGTTGACTTAACCATTCTATAAGGAAAGGGTCAGACAAATTTTGGGCAGTGCCAAGTTGGATTGTTTTGTTATTTGGGTCCCTTCCAGTGTACAAGATGGCTGGTTTGCCTCCAGGCAGAATTGTAGCAGAACCTGACCAGCAACCATTGATATCATACGGCTGTGATGGGTTGATGGCTTCCTCATGTGGGGTCCAATTAATCAGGTCCGTTGATGTAGAGTGTCCCCATGATAGATTGCAGAGCCCGCAGCGCAAATTGTGGATTGTATTGGTAAAATAGGTGATAAATTCCCTTGTAAAACATAGGCCCTGAGAAATTTTCCTCAAATTAAGCAGAGTGGAAAACAAGTGATTAATGAAGATTATTATATAACAAAACTAACCATTGGGATCTGCATATTTTAGTGCATCCATTTGTCGAAGCCAGAATCATCAAAAACAAGAGATCACAAGAAGCAACTGTTAGAGAAATAAAAAGCCGGAAATATATGAAGTTAAAGCTAACAAATCAAGAAGGTTGGACAAAAAGAAAAATAAATTACCATTCATCCAATTCTTGGCAGGCTGGAAATGGTAACCTGTCCTGTAAGTTTGAAATGGATTAGATAGAGATAACTTAAAGTTTCTGTAAACAGGGGTTGAGGCTTCAAGCTCAATAACTCTATGGCCAAGCAGGAGGGAAAAGAAGAAGAATGAAAAAAATACAAGACTTGGCCATTTTGCGTATGAGAAGAGCACCACATTGCAGGTTACTTATATATCAGAAATCATATGCAGGGCCAAATGAACATTGAAAATTATGAGCAGAGAAAATTCAAAGTCAGAAGTCCAGGCGTTTACTTTTTTCTTCTGGTGACAATGGAAATTATAGCATTAGGAACAGAAATGGAACTTTCAAAGAACTTGTATTTTGGTGCAATTGGTCTTGACCCATGTATACGGCAAAAATGAATACAAAATGTTAAATCTTCACCCATTTCCTGTCTTAATTGTGTAATGTAAATATGAACTCAAAATCAAGAGTAAAGGACTTTTTTCCACCCAAATAATGGTTTAACCATACTTTCCCACTCACATATTTTTGAAGTATCATTTTACTACAAAAATCTATATTCCATTTCTAATTCCGGCATCGGTGTAACTCTACACAACCACCATTCTCTTTCTCGATCATTACTCACCATTATTTGGGCGGAAAAAAGTCATTAACTCCAAAATCAATTCAAAAAATAAAGTGACCTGAAGAACACATACCTAATTAAGTGCAGCAGTTGTCAAGTAATTTCTGTGACATTACTAACCATTGTAGTTCCCTTGTTGCTGATGAGACTAGTTGAAAACTAACATAACTGGGGAGCATTTTAGAGAGAAAACTATCAGGCTTCTTTTCAGCTAATTCACGTACCTGTTATAGAGTAAAATATCAAATGAGATAGATGAAATTAAAAAAAAAAAAAAAACAGAAAAAAGTGGTTGTCCAATTGAGTTGGGCTTTCCGGGCATTGATAAGCATGATGGGAACCGACTCGTTATCCATCCACTGACAAGAGCGGGAGGTTGTCGCTGCTCTGTCACCAGCCTCACGCTGTGCCCTCCACTTTAGGAACCGTGTGATCCAAGCCTTCGCCCGGCCCACAAGGATCAACTCTTTACTTGGATTGGGCGTGCCAGTATAGGACCCAACAAACCCAACCTGGGAAGCCCAGCCAACGTCCAACTACTTTTATGCCCCACTTGGTTACAGGCCCTCGTTGCTGAGCCCGGCGAAAGAGTTATTTGGCCAAGTCGTTTATAAAGCATTGTGCTTTCAATTATCTTGTCGATGTGGGAGAAATCAATTACCTTAATCGCAGCTTTTGTATAACGGAGATTGGGATGATATTTACTTTGAGAAGAGATGAAGTTTATTACAATCATGCCATCACCATTACGTAATGATTCCAAGAGCTGCTATAATGGCCATCCACTCACTGGTAATTTCTTAATTAAATCTGGTATATCCTGTTTTTGTTTTATTTCTTCAACATAAAGGTCAGAAAAGTGGTTGAAAGATGAAATACCTGAACCAAGGCTTGTGTTTCCAAGGACCATATTCGATACTGCTATTAAATCTTTGCTGAGTAATGGAGAAAATTTGAGCTCGCTTATTCTCAAGAGGGAGTCTAAGTTGCAAGATAGTTGNATTTTTGGGCAGTGCCAAGTTCTGGATTTGTTTGTTATTTGGGTCCCTTCCAGTGTACAAGATGGCTGGTTTGCCTCCAGGCAGAATTGTAGCAGAACCTGACCAGCAACCATTGATATCATACGGCTGTGATGGGTTGATGGCTTCCTCATGTGGGGTCCAATTAATCAGGTCCGTTGATGTAGAGTGTCCCCATGATAGATTGCCAGAGCCCGCCGTCGCACCTTGTGGATTGTATTGGTAAAATAGGTGATAAATTCCCTTGTAAAACATAGGCCCTGAGAAATTTTCCTCAAATTAAGCAGAGTGGAAAACAAGTGATTAATGAAGATTATTATATAACAAAACTAACCATTGGGATCTGCATATTTTAGTGCATCCATTTGTCGAAGCCAGAATCATCAAAAACAAGAGATCACAAGAAGCAACTGTCAGAGAAATAACAAGCTGGAAATATATGAAGTTAAAGCTAACAAATCAAGAAGGTTGGACAAAAAGAAAAATAAATTACCATTCATCCAATTCTTGGCAGGCTGGAAATGGTAACCTGTCCTGTAAGTTTGAAATGGATTAGATAGAGATAACTTAAAGTTTCTGTAAACAGGGGTTGAGGCTTCAAGCTCAATAACTCTATGGCCAAGCAGGAGGGAAAAGAAGAAGAATGAAAAAAATACAAGACTTGGCCATTTTGCGTATGAGAAGAGCACCACATTGCAGGTTACTTATATATCAGAAATCATATGCAGGGCCAAATGAACATTGAAAATTATGAGCAGAGAAAATTCAAAGTCAGAAGTCCAGGCGTTTACTTTTTTCTTCTGGTGACAATGGAAATTATAGCATTAGGAACAGAAATGGAACTTTCAAAGAACTTGTATTTTGGTGCAATTGGTCTTGACCCATGTATACGGCAAAAATGAATACAAAATGTTAAATCTTCACCCATTTCCTATCTTAATTGTGTAATGTAAATATGAACTCAAAATCAAGAGTAAAGGACTTTTTTCCACACAAATAATGGTTTAGTGATACTTTCTCATTCACATATTTTTAAAATACCACTTTATTATCTAAATTTATATTCTGTTTCTAATTTCAACATCGTTGCAACCGCATACAACCATTATTCTTTTTCCTTATCATCACTCACAAAAACCTCTCAAACCTTACTCCCATTAACCTTGTCAATTATTGGCAATTAAGCGATTAAAGCTTATGCAGTCGTCACTTTCAAGTCAAATTCCAATCAATTCAAATCATCAAAATCTAACTTTTTACCACCAAAAGATTCATCGGTCTCCCCTCTTAAAAAACTTTAATAGCTTAGACCGAGTTTGCTTTTGGTTTACTATTAGAATATAAATTTGATTAATAAAGTGATATTTTAAAAGTTTATGGATGGCAAAATATCTTTAAACCATTATTTGGGTGGAAAAAAATCATTAACTCCAAAATCAATTCAAATAATAAAGTAACCTGAAGAACACATACCTAATTAAGTGCAGCAGTTGGCAGGTAGTAATTTCTCTAACATTACTAGCCACAGTAGTTCTCTTGTTGCTGATGAGACTATTTGAAAACTAACATAACTGGGGAGCATTTTGGAGAGAAGATTATCAGGCTCCTTTTCAGCCAATTCACGTACCTGTTATAGAGTAAATATCAAATGAGATTAAATGAAATAAAAAAAGTGGCTGTCCAGTTGAGATGGGCTTTCCAGGCATTGATGAGCATGATGGGAACCGACCCGTTATCCATCCACTGACAAGAGCGGGAGGTAGTCGCTGCTCTGTGACCAGCCTCACGCTGTATCCTCCACTTTAGGAACCATATGGTCCAGACCTTCGCCCAGCCCACGAGGTTCAACTCTCTACTTGGATTGGGCGAGCCAATATACGACCCAGCAAACCCAACCTGAGAAGCCCAGCCAGCGTCCAACCACTTTAATGCCCCACTTGGTTACAGGCCCTCGTTGCTGAGCCCGGCGATGGAGTTATTTTGCCAAGTCGTTTATAAAGCATTGTGCTTTCCATTATCGTGTCGATGTGGGAGAAATCGTTTACCTTAATAGCAGCTTTTGTACGAGGGAAAGAGTGCGATGATATTACTTTGAGAGGAGATGGAAGTTTTACAATCATGCCATTACCATTACGTAATGATTCCAAGAGCTGCTATAATGGCCATCCACTCACTGGTAATTTCTTAATTAAATCTGGTAAACCCTGTTTTTGTTTTCTTTCTTCAACGTAAAGGTCAGAAAAGTGGTTGAAAGATGAAATACCTGAACCAAGGCTTGTGTTTCCAAGAACCATATTCGATACTGCTATTAAATGTTTGCTGAGTAATGGAGAAAATTTGAGCTCACTTGTTCTCAAGAGGGAGTCTAAGTTGCAAGATAGTTGCTTATAATGAGAATGATCTTTTAAAATGACTGTCGATGATGGAGCAGAGCAATGGACAGACTGCTATCAACTGGCATAACCTTCATGCAGCTTTCGATGCTTAGGCTATCACCTACTATTGCTTTGTATTATATAAAGTAGGAGTTTATTTTGGCTTCATCTTTCTTATTTCTTAATGTTGCAGACTTGCAGACTCTTGAATAAAAGTCAAGTATTTGTATGTCAAAACTGAGAGCTGGTGTACAATGGTTTCAGAGGTGAGTTGGGATTAATCTTTGGACGATTGATCTTGAGTGTTAAAATGGAGAGGGCTTTACTACGGTTTGATCTTGTATTGTGTTTTTTATATTTATAGTGAATTGATCACGTTCTGTAAACGTAAACAAATTTAGTCCAATCGCATAAAACCAGATGTTATGGTTTCAAAATAGAAGAGAGCAAAATATTAATAATTTTCTTTAATTTGAATAATTCAGCTATGGTGTTGAAGTAATTTAATTCACTTCCCAAAGGCAATGTATACAATTTTATTACTCCCCAATAGCAATTGAGCTTTTAAAAATGTCAGTTTGAATGGATTTTAGTTAACCAAATGAATTATGCTGAGGTAAAGGAGCTTCAAAAAAAATTAATAGCCAGTGGACCAACATCAAGAGATGGAGTATTGTATAGTGTATGTTTGGCATTTAGTTTCTAAGTATAAAATGTATCTTCACGTGAAATCTCGGCTCAACTAAGTAGAAATTGTGCTTTGAGCTTAGCAAGTTTAATGGATCCAAAACCAACCAAGTAGAAAATGTTTATTTTAGACTCAAGCCTGTAAACCTTATAAATTGAGTATTCTATGTGTTTTTTTTTTTCTAAAATTTTGCAGTTTATTCTAATATGTCAATGTATTCATCAACTTACCAAGCTTAATTGTTTTCAAATTTATTTTTTATTTTTTTACTTTATTTTTTATTAATTTTAGATTTAGACTTTTTATCCAGTAACCTCCAACCTTTTTCTAATTACTGTTTTATAGGTTTATTTGCACTGTCAATCTATTAATACCGTTGAAGCTTTATGATACTCTTGCTTGTTACTATGCTCAGTGGCTCCATTATTATGTGATGGCCAATTTCCACTAATTTGTTTATTTTGATCCATGATTTTTCATAATCGTCCGCTAGACCGAATGGTAGATATATAGTAAATTCAATATAATATTGAATAATTTAGGGTTAATAACATTTCGGAATAACAAAAATCTTCTTATCGTTAAGTTTTAAGTGTTATAATAAAAGAGAGAAGGACAATTTTATAATATTTACAAACTTTTAACTTTGTAAATTTTAACGACTCATTAACAGTTCATTATTATTAGAAGAATTTTTGTTATTTCAAATACCTTAGAGGGATATTTGTTATTTTATCATACCTCAACGTTTGTTTAATCCATAAATTTATTGGAATACAATCCGATAGTAATATATTGTAGCACCCCACTACAAGACCTATCAACTAAATCTTTTTACAATATTTCATTATTAAAAAAAAAAAAAAACACATTTGGCATTATATCCATAATATATGATAATATTTAATTGGGTAGTCTGACCACTTTCACTGAAAGTGGGTTGAATAAGCAATTTTTTTGCTCTATAATAAATGTTCCCTACCCTCTTAGTATTAGTAGGGGTCATTTTGATATATTTACAAACAACTATGGTGCCAGTAAGATTATTGACACAAGAGGGGTTTAACGATTTTACCTAACTGGGTCCGGACTGCACCAATTTTTCAGCACTTTGGACGTAATCAAGTGATGCGTTCTTCCATGCGCTCTAAAGGAGGCGGCGATCAACCCGACTGTGCACACCCTCGAACTGTAACTATACAGTAGCCAATAAAATCATGACACGTCATCAGCCGACTTTAGAGATATAATTAATGTATTATTTTACCTATAATTCAGATATGAATCTTTACAAAATCACTTTGTATTAAGTTATTTATTACATCAAATTATATTATTTATATATATAATTTTTATTAAATGGGATTAATAAGGAGTTAGTTTACTTTTAAGTTTGTTAAAGGATGTTTAACTGTTAATAACATCATTAACAAAACGGTGCGTTTTACCTCCTACAGTAAACTTTGTTGCTGTATATAAGAACTACACTGTGCTTACTCTTTGCTTAATGAAAAATCATTCCCAAAACTTAGTGACAGCTTTTATGAGAAAAGGACCCAGCCGGCTATATGTTTGATGGTTGGCAGGGCGGCGAAGTTATTTCTTATCCCCTCCCCAGTCTTCCTTCTATCTTATTGGTTAAACTAAGATTCCCTCTATCTGTTCCATGCCCTATATTTATTGAATTTACGTACCGTTTCTTTGACTACTCTACACACAAAACAAAATATCAATTTCTCATCTTTCTTCAATCATTTACCGTCTTTCAGTATGGCTGAAGCACTTGTTTCTTTTGTCTTGGAGCAGCTGGCTTCAATCGCTCGTCAAGAGTTGAGGCTTGTGGCGGGTGTTGATGATGACATCCGAAAACTCACCAGCAATTTCCAGTCCATTCGAGCTGTTCTTGAAGATGCAGAGAGCAGACAATTCAAGGATATTGCTGTGAGGAATTGGTTGGATAAGCTTAAAGAGGCAGCTTATGATATAGATGATGTGTTGGATGAGTGGAACACTTCTATTGGGAAATTACAACTCAAGGAAGTTGAAAATGCTTCCAATCCTATGATCAAAAAGGTATGTTCACTCATCCCTTGTTACACCTTTTGCTTTAGTAAAGTTATCCTGCCTTGTGCCATTGCTCGCAAGATAAAAAGTCTAAGTAAAACAATAGATACTATTGCTATGGAAAAAAATATGTTTGGTTTTAGTTTGAAAGAGGGCACGGTAGAAATAAGACGACCAATGACTACATCTTTTAGTGATGTATCAATGGTGCAAGGAAGAGAAGCTGATAAGAAGGAGTTATTAAATAAGTTATTGAATGAGAGTAGTCAAGAGCCAGCCATCTCTATTGTTTCAATTGTAGGGATGGGTGGGATCGGTAAAACTACTCTTGCTCGATTAGTTTTTAATGCTGATGAGGTGAAAACCCATTTTGACAAAAAAATATGGATATGTGTCTCAGAACCTTTTGATGAGATTAGGATTGCAAAAGCAATCCTTGAATCTCTTGGAGGTGATCCATCGAGACAAGGTGAACTAGAAACTATATTGCAACATATAAGTCAATATCTTGATAGGAAGAAGTTTTTTCTTGTCCTAGATGATGTATGGACTGAAGATTCCAGAAATTGGGAACAACTAAAAGATTGTTTAAAGTGTGGTTCTCAAGGTAGTAGAATTCTAGTTACCACACGTAAGGAAAATGTTTCAAAAACTATAGGAGCCACCAACATGATCATGTTAGGGACATTATCACAAAATGAGTCTTGGTTGTTATTTAGTCAAATTGCATTTCCAGGTGAAGCCAATGAAATATTAGAAGATATTGGTAGAAAAATTGTAGCTAAATGCAAGGGCTTACCTCTCGCTATAAAAACCTTAGGAAGCTTCTTGCGTTTCAAAACAAATATTGGAGAGTGGCAAAATGTTCTAGATAGTGAAATGTGGGAAATAGAAGAGGTAGAACAAGGGATATTTCCACCTTTACTATTGAGCTATTATGATTTGCCTTTTCCATTGAAAAAATGCTTCTCATATTGTGCTATATTCCCGCAAGATCATCTGATTAAGAAAGATGAATTAATTAAATTATGGATGGCTCAAAGTTACCTTAGGGATGAGCGAAACAAAGACATGGAGTTAATTGGGGAAGAGTATTTTGAAAACTTAGCCTTGCGCTCTTTTTTTCAAGACTTTAAGAGAAATAAATATGATGGTAGCATAGAATGTTGTAAGATGCATGATATAGTGCATGATTTTGCTCAATTTCTTACCAAAAATGAATGTTTTAGTGTAAAGACTAGTAATGAAAAAAGATTGCGTAGCCTTGTGGTTGAGAGTCAAGATCAGAGAAGCCTGCTGACTTCGTCCAAATTATTTGATAACTTGAGTCTACAAGGATTAAAGTTTGGCTTACTTGTTATTCAAAAACTCCCTAAAGAAATAAAAAAGATGATACGTTTGAGGTATCTTGATATATCTCGTAATAATTATTTAAAAAAATTGCCGGAGGAGTTGTGTGATTTATATAATCTACAAACGTTAAACATGGCCTGGTGTATGAATCTAACAAAATTACCTCAAGGGATGGGAAAGTTAATCAACTTGAGGCATTTGATAATTAATTATACTAAAGTAGAATACATGCCAAAAGGAATTGAAGGATTAACATGCCTTCGAACTTTGGAAAATTTAGTATTGAGTAGTAGTAGCCATGGCGGCAAAGCATGTAGTATTGAAAGTTTGAAAAACTTGACAAATCTTCAGTGTCTCGGTATTTCGATGTTAGAAAATGTAGGAGATGTGGCTGAAGTTAAGCGAGCAAACCTTAGGAATAAGACAAACCTCATCTCTTTATTTTTAAATTTTAGAATTGACTTTGTCCAAATGGAAAGTGTTGAGAGAGATGAAATGGTTGTTGAGGCCTTAGAACCACCTCCAAATTTAGTGAAATTATGTTTAAGGAATTATGGTGGTAAAACTATATGGCCAAATTGGATAGTATCATTAACTCAATTGAGGGAGTTAAGACTTGGGGATTGCTTTAAGTGTGAGTATTTGCCTCCTTTGGGAAAATTATCATCTCTTGAATCACTCTTTATAAAAGCCAAGAGAGTAAAAAAAGTGGGTAATGAATTTTTGGGAATAGAAAGTGATGGCACTATCAGATCTTCTATTATCTTTCCCAAATTAAAAAATCTTGAGTTTGATTGTATGTTTGGATGGGAAGAGTGGGATGATATTACTTTGAAAGAAGATGAATTAGTTATTACAATCATGCCATCTCTTCATTACCTGAAGTTCACTTCCAGTGGCAGATTAAAAAAGCTGCCCAATTACATTCTTCAATCGCCAACAATAAAACAATTGGAGATAGAGTATTGTTTTACTCTAAGTCAGCGTTACCAGAAGGAGATATGTGAAGATTGGCACAAGATCTCTCACATTCTTGACGTCACCATCCGTATATAGGTAATTTCTTCTCCATTTGAAAGTAAGTTGTTATTTACAATTAAAAGAATTGAACAAACTTTTTGTCTTCTTCGTTTCTTTTTTCCTTTATTAACTTATTTTCTAATGTTTATTTTATTGACTTTATAATATAAATACCAAACAAATATATTCTTAATTTTAGGATCAATTAATTCTATCAAAACCTCTCCCTCTCTCTCTCTCATAAAATGTATTTAATATTTTTTTAAATAATCTATGTTGAATATATGCTTTCTAATTACTAAAATTTCTAATTATAATTCTCAATGTATTTAATATTTGTTTTAAAATAATCCATATTGATAAAATTATAAATTTTTTAATTATAATTCTCAAAACTCCACATTTTGGAGTTGATTTTTTTTTTTCCTTTGTTAATGTTTTGGGTAATCTTTCTTTTCTCTTAATATCACAGCCTTCTCTATAATACACCCTACTCCCCTGCTGTGCGTGTTACAAGAAGGGGAAAGGTGAGGATTGGCTTTTAGAAATATGATTACAAGAGCTACAATCGCCATCCACTCACTGTCACTGGTAATTTATTCTCTCTCTCTCTTTTTTTTTTTTTTTTTTTTTTTTTGGGCTCATATGCTCATTAACTCACCTTTACAGTTTTTACTATTGCTTTTATTTTGTAAATTCCATTTTTGTTGCGGATATTGAACTACTATGTATTAGTTCTGACTTGGGTTATCATGTTTATGCACGCAAGATGTTTGAAAGATGAAATGGATGAACCTAGGCTTGCGATTCAGGGGACTCTATGGATATTGCATTCTAGCTTTCACTTAGAGTCACCTTTTAAAATGTTAGATGAAAAGAGCAATGGACAGAACCGCTGATCGCTTATGTGGGAAAGTTTTTCCTGTGAATGTTTTGGATGAACTTGTGTTATTCTTGGCTGTTACAAGGTGGCATTATCCTTATACGGCTTTCAATGCTTTGGCCATTATTTCACAACCAAAGGTATTAATCTTCACCGGCTATTGCTTTGTATTATATAACGTATTTGAGTTGATTTTGTAAGTGTTGGCTAAGTCAGTCTCATCTCTTAAATAAACATAGGATGCCCTGTTGTAGGCTTTTATTGAATCCTCATGTCTGTTGGGCTCCTATAAATGCTATCAAACACTTCTGCAAGCATTTTAGAGACAAATTTCTTGTTGGTATCGTCAACAAGTACTGGCTGTATCCTCCATAACCGTGAATGATTCCACTTAGTGATCAGGTATATAGCTTTGCAATTTTTCGTTTATTAACCAATATTAATTTCTTTTTCAAGATACAAGAAACACCAGACGCAATTGCTCATTAGCTAACTTTTACGCATTTTGCAGTTGTTCAACCTAAATAAGATTGTTTAACATCTCTATATTTTGTGATTTCAATTGTTTTATAATCCATTATTTTAAACTAGAATGAATTAATGTAAGACAACATGGTTTGACGCTATACATTCTGGTTAACAGGGTTGTTGAAAGATTGAATAAAATGGCATTTGTTTTCAGTTTTTACTGTTGCATTTGTTTTGTGTATTCTGTTTTCATTGCAGATATTGAACTACTCTTTTGAGTTTTTCTTTTGATTTGAACTACATTTGGGTGAACAGAATTATGCATAGAAGGTGTTTGAAAGATGAAATGGCTAAACCAAGGCTTGCGTTTCAGGAGACCATGTCGATACTGCTATCAAATGTTTTCTGAGTAATGGATAAAATTTGAGCTCACTTCTTTTCTCAAGAGGGAGTGTCATTGGTAAGATATTGCTTATACCGAGAATGACTTTTTAAAACGACTACTAATGATGAGCAGAGCAATGGACAGAATGATGGGAAAACATTTGCTATAGGATCAAGGGTTTGGGAAGAATCGATGATGGCTTATATGGGGAATTTTTTTCCAGTGAATGTTTCGATTAGTTTCTGTTATTCTTGGCTGCTATCATGTGGCATTATTTCACAACCAAAAGGTAATAAACTTCACCAATTATATTATATACTATAGGAATTGATTTTGCATGTGTTGGCAAAGTCTCTTTCATCTTTAAATGTTGTAGGCTCTTAAATAAAGATAGGGTGTCCCATAGCATAGTAGACTTTTATTGAATCCTCATGTGTATTTGCTGAGGATAGCAAGGAAGAGTATGTATCTAGAGGAGAAAACGAGGCATCTTGGGATTAAATTTGTTCTGTTTTTTTGTTGAGTGGAACAAACAAAATGCTGGAGAAATAATATTTTCAATGTGCTGAAATGCGTGTAGAATTGAGGAGGCCTAATGTGGGGAAGTTATTACAGTGAATTATTGATTGGTCAGTGTTATTCTTCTTCTACGAAGTGGAAAATCGGTCTGCGGCTTTCACTGCTTTGGTCGTGATTTCACACCCAAATGCTATTTAAACTGCAACCAGTAATTATACATTTTGGAGTTGATTTTTTAAGTTTTGGCTAATCTTTCTCATATGTTAATGTTGCAGCCTCCTCCACAATACATTTTTAGTAAGGTAATCGAAGCATCAACACTGACGTGTTTTCAGTTGCTATATATGCAATCAAGGAGGTTCTCTCAAGCATCTTAGCCATTGAATTTCATGTTCGTATAAACAATTGCTATGAATGATTCCAGTATGTGTTCAGTTATTTGTTTTGGAAATTTGTGCTCATGGACACCCACAATTAATTTTGAATTTCAGGTGTTGATCGAACAATCGAGGTTGCCAAAGAGAAAATTACACAATCTTGTCAAAGTGACGAGGTTCATTTTGCATTTTATATCTACACATACTACCTCATGTTAAGTTATTTGGTTTATCTTTTGACTTTATTGAGTAAACAGGGATCAAATTCCATCTAAAGAAGATGTTTCATGGAGGACCAAATTGTCAGAAACTCATTGCTCCCCCAAAATTTGAGGTTTATGAACAAAGGTTTATTTCTGCAAATGTGGTTTGCATGCTTGATTGAATTATGGCTTGTAGAATCTTCTAGCTGTTCCATTCAACAATTTGACATGTTCTTGCTTGTTATCAGACTCTTTGGCTCCAGTATTATGTGCTTGCTAATTGCACGAATTTATATTCGACCTTAATATTTCATTCTCCTCGAAAGGTCGCTGTAAATTCAGGTAATTAATTTATACAAAAGCCTTTTTTATTTATTTATTTTCTTCTATAAAGCAATTACTATGAAGCAAGTTTTAAACATTTTATGAATTGCTTGAAGAACCAATTAATGTTAGGAGTTGATATACTAAACGAGCTTGGCATAAATAAAATGGTGTATTATTTTGTTAAGTAAGTACATTAATTTTTGTTATTGTCCAACTGTTTGTAATAAAATTATTAATTTCATCTTGCAATATCTTGGTCAAAGGAAGGGGAATTTGAAAGAGGATCAAAATTGGAAACTAACGACAAAAATGAAGTGAAGGAATGGAAGAAGGTATATTTAAATCAGTCAAACTTCTATGGATATAGTCTCTTGTTCCATTCTTGTGCTTAAATTATGAAAATTATAAGTCTTGTTATTCCAATTTCAATTTCATCTGGTGGACTTAACAGGAGATGATATAACAAAGGTGATGTGATATCGAATAATTCAACATTTTATTGATTTCTTCAAATGGTTTGGCTACAAGCAAGGTAGTAAATCTTGATCATTCCATAACAAGTTTAGCAATATCAATATCAAACTGATTTTAGCTTTCTTCAGTCTCCACTCTCCAGGCAGTCAGGAAGCTTGTAAACATTTTCACTGTCAGTTCCATTATTGAAAGCAAAAGGTAGGATTAACTCTAGTTTTGATACAAGTCTTTTGATTAAGATGCTACAGTTTTTATACTTATTTTGTAAATATGTTAGATTACTTGCAATATTGTATGTGAGAGTTCAATGCTCAAATGTGAAAGAGGTTTTTTTTTTTTTTTTTTTTTTTTTTTGAGAAAGAGAGAGATAGAGAGAGGGGTTTCAAGGTTAGGTTAGAGTTAGTATTGAGCGATTAATCTTGTATTGTGTTTGTGATATTTCTAATAGATTGATCACGTCCCGTGGATGTAGGCAGATTTTGCTGAACCACGTAAAATCTGGTGTTTTTGTGTGATTGATTTTATTTATTTATCTATTGTCAATTAATCACCTCTTACAAATCAGTTTAGGGTGGTTTTAACCCCTTTCACATCCTGATTTGGAAAAAATTATTTTAACCTTTACATGACACTTAATTACAATAGAATTTTCTATTAATTTTTTGCATCTCACCAGTCGAGTGGCTGTAACTCTATCATAGCCGTATTGGCACAACCTTATTCTTTTGAGCTTCAGCAAAACGTTATTCAATCGAAACATGTTTATTTATAAAAAACCGGTCGAACAACTTACACATATCCAAGGTTTGCTGTAACGACAAGTTGGTATCCAAAAGGTTTTGAAATAACAAATTGGTACCTTCCGTTATGTGTTGTTAGTGATTTCCGTTTGATAATAGTGAAAAGACTAGAATGCCCTTAAAAGTTTGATATTTTAGTTTTTTATAAATTTAAAAATTTCTCAAAAACCCCTTAGGTTTGCTAATTTAACTAAACACTCTAATATATAAAAACTTTATAAAATAACAAAAACACCCCCACACCCGCAGTGTTAGATTCCGACCACCACCGTTAGAATCTTGTCGAAAAACTGCGTTACGACATAGACCCGTCAGATCTAACGTTTCGATCTGGCCTTTTTCGGCCTCGACGGCTAGATCTGGTTGTAGATCTGGCCTTTTCTGACCAGATCCTCCACGGATCTGGCGGGAAAAGGCCAGATCGACACGTTACGGCACAGACCCATTTGGCCCTAGATCTACAACCAGATTGCGGCCTCGACGGTCAGATCTGGCCTTTTTCGGCCAGATCCACCACGGATATGGCCGAAAAAGGCCAGATTGACGCGTTATGACACAGATCCGAAAGGTTTGTGTCGTAACGCAATTTTTCGGAAAGATATCGGCGGTGGTCGTCGGAATCTGGCGCTGTAGGTGGTGGGAGTGTTTTTGTCATTTTATAAAATTTTTATATATTGGGGTATTTAGTTAAATTAGCAAACCTAGAGGGTTTTTTAGAAATTTTTAAATTTATAAAAAAACTAAAATATCAAACTTTCAAGGGCATTCTAGTCTTTTTACCATTATCAAACGAAAATCACTAATAGCACATGAAAAAAGATACCAATTTGTCGTTTCAAAACCTTTTGGGTATCACTTTATCGTTATGACAAACCTGGGGTATGTCTATGTCGTTTAGCCATAAAAAACCTCTTCAAATGAGATAGCTATCAAATCAAGTGGACTTTGACTTATACATTTGATAAGGAAGCCTAAGAGGTTTACTTCATTTTGCAATAACAAAAATCTTCATACCATTAATTTGTAAGTGTTGAAATAAAAGACATTAGGGTAATTTAGTAATATGTATGAACTTTAAATTTTGTAAATTTTAACACTTCGTTAACTGTTTATTAACGTTAAAGGAATTTTTGATATTTCAAATACCTTAGGGGGGTATTTGTTAATTTTATCATACATAGAAGTCTATTAACCCATAAATTTAATGAAATACAATCATTGAGTAAATTTCTAGCACCTCACTGCAAGAACTATCAACTAAATCTTGTTACAATATTTTATTATAAAAAAGAAATTGGCATTAAATGTATAATATATGATAAGATTTAATTGGATAGTTTCACCACTTTCAATGAAAGTGGGTTGAATAAGCAATTTTTTTTGCTCTGTAATAACAATTCCGTCCCCTCTTAGTAGGGGTGATTCTGATATGTTTACATGTTCATTAAAATAATTGAGGGTTTAATGATCTTACGTAACTGGGTCTGGACTAAATCCAATTTTCAGCACTTTGGACGTGGTCAATTGGGTCCGGACTGAATCAAATTTTCTCATCAATTAATGTCGCAGGCTCTTAAAATAAAAATCAGGCGTCCTGGTTGGGGGCTTTTATTGAATCCTTTGTGGATTTGCAGGGACAGCTGAGAAGAGTATGTTTCTTGAGGAGAAAACAAGGCATCTTGGGATAAATTTATTCTGTTTTTTTTTTTTTTTTTCTTCAATTGGGATAGACCGAATGCAGGAGAAACAATGTAGAATGGAGAAGGCCTAATTTGGGGAAGCAATTATATGGTGAATTGTTGGATTGCTCTGTGTTATTCTTGGTTCTATGAAGTGGCAAATAATTATGCCTGCTTTGACCATTATTTCACACTCAAATGGTATTTAAAGTTCACCCAACAATTTCTTTATTATATATTGTTGGAGTTGGTTTTATAAGTATTGGCTAATCATTCTCATCCATTGATGTTGCAGCCTCCCCTAAGTACAAATTTGATGTCCTGTTGTGGACATTTTTATTGAAGTTACTGAAGGCATCAATCCAGAAGTGTTTTGAGCTGCTGTTGTGGACATTTCATGTTAGTATCATCAACAAGTTCTGGCTATGGCTGCATAAACAATTGCTAGGAATGATTCCAGTATTTGTGCTCATAGACGCACAAGTAATTCTAAATTATTATAAAAATAATATCTTCTTTTGGGTTGTGATACAGGAGGGATGTTGGTGAAGCTAAACATACAAAACTCTAGAGGTAATTTCTTTTGCTAATTTGAATTGTTCTTTCTCTTGTCAATTATCATTTTGGAAGGCTTTTTTTAATTTTTAGTTAAAGAAAATTTGATTTTGATATTTCCATTCCGTCAATGCTGCAAGTTCATTATTTCGTAAATTTCTTGAAGAATCAATTTCATAAGACAAATTAGGCCAAAGTTTTTAGATTAAAAAGCTTAGCTCAACATAATAAGAGATCCTCAAAATTGAAAGTTGTTTATGAGTACGTAGATTCTAATGTCATTTTCATGAAACCCACATCAAGAGATAAGATGCTGAAGAACAACTAGCTGAAACTTTTATTAATTGAATGGTGATGTTTGATCTTTTCTTTTGGATTAATTGGTCATGATTTTTGTACATACATAAGTCTTTGTGATTGAAAATGGCTCAAAAGTATGAGATCAAAGAAGACTAAGAGACCCAAGTAGTTTCAAGGGTTGGGAAAATAATAATGTAAGATTCATACTCAGTCCGTTCTAGAAATGTAACATTCACAGAACTCCATAGAATAAATGTTGAGCATGGCCATGAACATTATGTCTTTTATGCTTAACTTGCAACCATCAGGAGGAAATAAGCACACATGAAGCAAAGGTATAGTATTCTTAGACTAACTTTCGTCTAACACCAAATTGATATTTATATTGAGTTAATGTAAAAGCAATCCTTGAATCTCGTATGAAAGATTTTTCGGAAAGACAATAGTTGAATTAGAAAATGTTTTCCTAAAAAATAAGTCAATGTCTTGAGAGAAAAAAAAAACGTTTTTTCTCGTCCTAGATGATGTATGGATGAAGGATCCTAAAGATTGGGAAAAATTGGTAATTGCTTTAAAGGTTGGTTCTCAAGAAAGTAGAATTCTAGTTACCACACGTAAGCAAAATGTTGCAAAAATTATAGGAGAGTCTTCAATGTAAGAAAAAGAGTCTTGGTCAACATTTGGTCAAATTGCATTTTAAGATATTGGTAGAGAAACTGTAGCTAAATGCAAGGCTTGCTTTGTATTATAAAAACATTAGGTGGGCTTTATGAAATTTGGTGATAACATAAGAAGTTTTAAGATATAATGCATGATGTTGAACGGAGAGTCTTCAACTTTGCACTTTGTAGATGTTAAAGGTAAACAACAGCTGCTAATTTAAAACATAAAACAAAATAATAATCATAATAATAATGTTAATAAACTATAGGGAGTTTAAATAATTTATTGATCTAATTATTAATTTTAATTAATTAATTAATTACTTACTTGAAACTTCTTATGCCTCATAGTTTTGGAATTAAGAAATAGAATTATAAATGGGCATCTTATATTATATTTTATATAAAAAAAATAGTAAAATAATTCATGTTCACACGTGTTATACTAAATTATATGTTTAAGTATTGTGTTAATAAAATATTTTTATTGGTTACCATTCTGAGTTTTTAAAAAAATATTAAATATTTTATAATTTAATTTCCCATTAACATTATAATTAAATGATTAAGAAATGGGGGGTGAGTGAAGGGATATAGAGTGTTTGTAATTTTGAGACTCCAGTTTTATGCTTTTGTGATTTTGTCAATTAAGCCGACGAAGTCCCCGATTCCTAGTCTGGTCGATTAAATCGATTGAGCTAGGTCAAGTTTAAAAACACAGATAAATACACAAAATTAATAGAAGAATACACCCTACAAAATGAGTTGTTTTTTGCTTATGTAATTAAGGTTTTTTATTTAAGTTGGAAACATTATTATGGAATTTTAAATATTGTTCATTAAAATGACCACTTCCATAATTAATAAAATAATTGGAGAATTTATTTTAAATGAAATGAAATGATATACTGAAAAATAAAAAAGCAAGAATTGGAAGAAAAAATGTTAAAGCGAAGTTGCTTGGCCGCGAGTACAGTACAGACAAAGAAACATGATCATTTGGGTTTGTGTATGGTGGTGGGACCCAATATCTCCACGTGTCATCCCGACCGTGCTCCTAGTCCTGATGGGGCCTTCTAAATTTTGATACGGTGTTCAACCTGTGTATTACAAATCATGTGTATCCCCGCATCTAACAGTGTACCCTCCTTGTTCTATATGTCGACATTCAATTTTCAATTTCTTTTTTTTTTTTTTTCTTTTATCAGATTTTTGGTTAATAAGAAGTCTTAAATAAAATAATTTCACTGTATAAAGGTTTAAAATAAAAATGAAAGAGGGTTCATAAACTAATAATATTATTATAATAAATAAATCATATACAAGAAAGATTTTTTTTTTTCTCTAATTTTCAATTTATTCTAACAAATATTATGGATTCAATATTACAATCCAAGAAAATTAAAAGGAAGTATTTTTTTATATGTAAGAAAATTGATTGAAAATTTGTGATTAATGGATAAAAAAATGTCACGAATGGTGAACCTAAAAACAATCCCACTTCTATAACGGTAAACTACGAAGAAAATTAGATGATTTATTTCACATGACATGCAAAAGTTTATTTAATTTGTGACCTTCACAGAACCTTTGATACTTAATACTTTGATGTTAAAGTTCTGAATAACTTTTGTTTTTAACGAAGGAAGGAATAAGCATGGCCACAGATGTGTGTTTATGCTTAACTTGCAATTAATCATCACGAGGGAATAAGCACACATGAAGCAAAGGTATATTATTCCTTGAGTAAAGTTTCTTCTAAAACTAAATTGATCTTTATACATTGTCTCAACCCCTTTAATTGCATCATATTCTTGCTTTTAATTGATATGTATGCTGAAGTAGAATCCATAATTTTTTATGATGCAAAGCAGCTTGTTTCAGCTATAGTTATACCTTAACCAACATTTAAGTAAACCTTTGTTCGAGCCATGCAGCAAGTAAAGAATTGTTCTCTTTCTTCCATATTGCACTATATATATGGATTCTGCCGCAGCATTGTCTACACACAACACAAATTATCAATTTCTCATATTTCTTCAATCGTTTACCATCTTTAGTATGGCTGAAACACTTGTTTCCGTTATCCTGGACCAGCTGGCTTCAATAGCTCGTCAACAAATTGAAGAACAGTTGATGCTGGTGGTGGGTGTTGATGATGACATCCAAAAGCTCACCAGCAATTTCCGATCCATTCGAGCTGTCCTTGAAGATGCAGAGAACAAGCAATTCAAGGACAATGCTGTGAGAGATTGGTTGGATAAGCTTAAAGAGGCATCCTATGATATAGATGATGTGTTGGATGAGTGGAAAACTTCAATTGGGAAATCACAACTCAAGGAAGTTGAAAATGCTTCCAAGCCTATGATCAAAAAGGTATGTCCACTCATCCCTTGTTATACCTTTTGTTTTAGAAAAGTTATCATGCCTTGTGCCATTACTCGCAAGATAAAAAGTCTAAGTAAAACATTAGATGATATTGCTATGGAAAAAGATAGGTTTCGTTTCAGTTCGGTCGAGCACACTATAGATATAAAACCACCAATGACTGCATCTTTTGGTGATATATCAATAGTTCATGGAAGAGAAGCTGATAAGGAGGAGTTATTAAACAAGTTATTGAATGAGAGTAGTCAAGAGCCAGCCATCTCTATTGTTTCTATTGTAGGGATGGGTGGGATCGGTAAAACTACTCTTGCTCGATTAGTTTTTAATAGTGATAAGATGAAAACCCATTTTGACAAAAAAATATGGGTATGTGTCTCGGATCCTTTTGATGAGATTAGGATTGCAAAAGCAATCCTTGAATCTCTTGTAGGTGATGCATCAAAACTAAGTGAACTAGAAACTATATTGCAACATATAAGTCAATATCTTGATAGGAAGAAGTTTTTTCTTGTCCTAGATGATGTATGGACTGAAGATTCCAAAAATTGGGAGCAACTAAAAGATTGTTTAAAGTGTGGCTCTCAAGGAAGTAGAATTCTAGTTACCACACGTAAGCAAAAAGTTGCCAAAGCTATAGGAGCCACCAACATGATCATGTTAGGGACATTATCAGAAAATGAGTCTTGGTTGTTATTTAGCCAAATTGCATTTTCTGGTGAAGTCAGTGAAAAATTAGAAGATATTGGTAGAAAAATTGTAGCCAAATGCAAGGGCTTACCTCTTGCTATAAAAACCTTAGGAAGCCTCTTGAGTTTCAAAACAAATATTGAAGAGTGGCAAAGTGTTCTAGATAGTGAAATGTGGGAAATAGAAGAGGTAGAACGAGGGGTATTTCCACCTTTACTATTGAGCTATTATGATTTGCCTTTTCCATTGAAAAAATGCTTCTCATATTGTGCTATTTTCCCGCAAGATCATGAGATTAAGAAAGATGAATTAATTAAATTATGGATGGCTCAAAGTTACCTTAGGGATGAGCGAAACAAAGACATGGAGTTAACTGGGGAAGAGTATTTTGAAAACTTAGCAATGCGCTCTTTTTTTCAAGACTTTAAGAGAAATAAATATGATGGTAGCATAGAAAGTTGTAAAATGCATGATATAGTGCATGATTTTGCTCGATTTCTTACAAAAAATGAATGTTTTAGTGTAGAGACTAGTAATGAAAAAAGATTGCGTAGTCTTGTGGTTAGGAGTCAAGATCAGAGAAGTCAGTTGACTACGTCCAAATTATTTGATAACTCAAGTCTACGAGCATTAAAGTTTAGATTAATTGGTATTCAAGAAATCCCTACAAAAATAAAAAAGATGATACATTTGAGGTATCTTGATTTATCTACATATGATTTCGAAGAATTGCCGAAAGAATTGTGTGATTTATATAATCTACAAACGTTAAACATGGCCTGGTGTGTTAAGCTAACAAAATTACCTCAAGAGATCGGAAAGTTAATCAACTTGAGGCATTTGATATTTGAGACTTATGGAATAAAATACATGCCAAAAGGAATTGAAGGATTAACTTGTCTTCGAACTTTGAAAAATTTTGTAGTGAGTAGTAGTAGCCATGGCGGTAAAGCATGTAGTATTGAAAGTTTGAAAAACTTGACAAATCTTCGGTGTCTTGGTATTTCGGGGTTAGAAAATGTGGGAGATGAGGGTGAAGTTAAGCGAGCAAACCTTAAGAATAAGACAAACCTCCTCTCTTTATCTTTAGATTTTGGACTTGAATATGACCCAATGAAAACATATGAGAGTCAAGAAATGGTTCTTGAGGCCTTAGAACCACCTCCAAATTTAGTGAAATTAGGTTTATGGAATTATAGAGGTAAAACTATATGGCCAAATTGGATGATATTATTGACTCAGTTGAGGGAGTTAAGACTTGAATGTTGCTGTAGGTGTGAGTATTTGCCTCCTTCGGGAAAATTATCATCTCTTGAGTCACTCTTTATAGATAAGGCTATATATGTAAAAAAAGTGGGTAATGAATTTTTTGGAATAGAAAGTGATGGCATAGCCACATCTTCTATTGTCTTTACCAAATTAAAAAATCTTGAGTTTTGGGACATGGACAGATGGGAAGAATGGGATGATATTACTTTGAGAGGAGATGAATTAGTTATTACAATCATGCCATCTCTTCATTACTTGAAAATTGGTGGAATCCACAAACTAAAGACTTTGCCCAATTACATTCTTCAATCGCCAACACTAAAACAATTGGAGATCGTCGGTTGCAATACTCTGAGTCAGCGTTACGAGAAGGAGAGAGGTGAAGATTGGCACAAGATCTCTCACATTCCTGACGTCACCATTAGAGAACAGTCATAGGTAATTTCTTCTCCATTTAAAAGTAAGTTGTTATTTACAATTAAAAGAATTGAACAAACTTTTTGTCTCCTTCGTTTCTTTTTTCCTTTATTAACTTATTTTCTAATGTTTATTTTTATTGACTTTATAATATAAATACCAAACAAATATATTCTTAATTTTAGGATCAATTAATTCTATCAAAACCTCTCTCTCTCTCTCTCATAAAATGTATTTAGTATTTCTTTTAAAATAATCCATTGTTGATAATATATGCCCTCTAGTTACTAAAATTTTTAATTATAGTTCTCAATGTCACCACTCATTGTCACCGGTAATTTCTTCTTCTTCTTCTCTGTCTCTCTCACTCTCTCTCTCTCTTGCTCTTTTGTTCGTTTGTTGTTTGGGCTCACATGCTCATTAACTCACATTTACAGTTCTAATTTGGGTTATCATGTTTATGCACGCAAGGTGTTTGAAAGATGAAATGGATGAGCCTAGGCTTGCGATTCAGGGGATTCTATGGATATTGAATTCTAGCTTTCACTTAGAGTCACCTTTTAAAATGTTTGATGAAAAGAGCAATGGACAGAATCGATGATGGCTTATGTGGGAAAGTTTTTCCTCTGAATGTTTTGGATGAACTTGTGTTATTCTTGGTTGTTATAAGGTGGCATAATCCTCATACGGCTTTCGATGCTTTTACCATTATTTCACAGCCAAAGGTATTAATCTTCACCAACTATTGCTTGGTATTATATAATGTATTTGAGTTGATTTTGTAAGCGTTGGCTAATTCATTCTCATCTCTTAAATAAACATAGGATGCCCTGTTGTAGGCTTTTATTGAATCCTCATGTCCATTGGGCTACTATAAACACTATCAAATACTTCTCCAAGCATTTTAGAGACAAATTTCTTGTTGGTTTTGTCAACAAGTACTGGATGTATCCCCAATAACTATGAATGATTCCAGTTAGTGGTCAGGTATTTAGCTTTGCAATTTTTTGTTCATTAGAGTGTGATTGGAATGATTTACAGTTTGGATTAAAGACAAATAATTATAAGTTATTATTGTTCTTTGCAATTTATGATTTGTCAATGAAAATTATTGTATTTATGTGCAAATTTGATGTTTTATAAGCTGTGCATTTGATCAATTGCTAATATGTGACCTCTTTTGCTTCTCCAGTGAATAGTGGAGAATCTTGCTTAACTCAGCTTATTGATGAGGATGGTACATTTAATGTTGCTAGATTTAAGCACTTTATTAAGGATGTAAAATTGGGTGATTGTGGGCTTTCATATGCTGTAGTCTCCATCATGGGACCACAAAGTAGCGGTATGTGTTCTCCTCGAGCTAATGACTTATGTTTTGCAAACGATGCATTTTGAAACAAGGGTTTAATGGTTTATTCTCAAACCAAATGCAATTTGAATGAGCATTGCATGTTAGAAGAGTATGAGCCCTGTGAATTAGAAATGGTTGAACCATGCTGAGATATAAGTTAGCTCATCTGTCCCTGATAGCATAGTAGCTGTGTTGATATGAAAACGGAATTACTTTTCCTGTATGATATTTGTGCACCATCTCTTTTAATTTTTCGTTATTTTTACTTCTTAAGATATGTCTTTCCTATCTCTCTGTTTTGTTTGTTTGTTAATTGTTTATTGGTTTATTATAGCTTGCATAAGTTGAAGCATACGCAAATTTAAAGAGTTTCACTTTGTTTTCGATGATAATTACAGGGAAAAGCACACTGTTAAATCATTTGTTTGGTACTAACTTTGGGGAAATGGATGCATTTAAAGGAAGCAATCTTCTCTTGATATTCTCATGGTACTTAAAATTTTTGTTGATGGAAGATAAAATGACTTATAAAACGTGGTTCTCTTCCGGTCTCAAACGACCCAAGGTATATGGTTAGCAAGATGTGCTACAGTGCTAGCATTGAGCCTTGTACTCTTGTAATGGACTTGGAGGGTACTGACAGAAGGGAAAGGGGAGAGGTAATTTTGCTTGCCCATATTCTTTTTAACTTCATCCCATATTAATTAATGTGATTATCCTGCATGCACATATTTTCAGACGTATGATCTGAATTTAAATAGCTCAGGTTCTGGGATGTGGAAATGAACTTTTGGTCTGAGAAGATAACGAGATATTTATTGCTTGCTGAATTTTATCTGGTTTTCCTCCCAGGATGATACTGCTTTTGAGAAGCAAAGTGCCCTCTTTGCCCTTGCTGTTTCAGATATAGTGCTCATAAACATGTATGTTATTGTATCTGGCTATAGAAGGGTGCACTAGTTTGAGTGTATAGCTTTCTATGTTACTTTATTTTCTTTGGTCAGTTGGCCGTATATTGTATTTTTGTACTCTTCTTAAAGCATATTAATGTAGGTGGTGTCATGACATTGGCCGTGAGCAAGCTGCAAATAAACCACTTTTAAAGACTGTATTCCAGGTAATACACGTCTGTATACCCCTATGCTACCCGTATTTGGCATCATAAAAATTTTAAGTTTATAAATTGGTGGTGGAATATGCTCATGATGTGATTGTTTAGTCAGCGTAAAACAACTTTGATGTGTCATACATGGTAAAACACGGGTACACTCCTTTTTCTATTGAATTTTATTCAGTAGCTTTAGATATCTCAAGTTGTTTATTTAGGTAATTTGATTTTGTACTTGATCAGTTTCTTTCACAATGACCTGTAATTTATATTTGTATGTTCTTCTTTGTTGATAGACACCATTGGAAAATTTAGAACCCATTCTAAGAAAAGATATTCAGAAGGTATAAGGTTTGTTGTTACATTCCATTTTTGTTTCTCAAAATTGACTTTATTCATGTTGATTTTTAATCCTTATTTCCCTTGAACTGCAGATATGGGATTTTGTTCCTAAGCCACAAGAAAATTACACAATCTTGTCAAAGTAATGAGGTTCATTTTGCATTTTACATTTTACATCTACACAGACTACCTCATGTTAAGTTATTTGGTTTATCTTTTGGCTTTATTGAGTAAACAGGATCAAATTCCATCTAAAGAAGATGTTTCATGGAGGACCGAATTGTTAGAAACTCATAGCCACCCCAAAATTTAAGGTGTAGGAACAGAGTTTTATTTCTACAAAATATGGTTTGCATGCTTGATTGAATTATGGCTTGTATAGTTTTTCTAGTTGTTCCATTCAACACTTTGATTATCTTCTTTCATCTTGCCAGTCTTTGGCTCCAGTATTATGTGCTTGCGAATTGCACGAATTTATATTCAACCTTAGTTTTTCATTCTCCTCAAAAGATCGCTGTAAATTCAGGTAATTAGTTTATGCAGAAGCCTTTTTATTTATTTATTTCTTTTATAAAACAATTACTATAAAGCAAGTTTTAAACATTTCATGAATTGCTTGAAGAACCAATTAATGTCAGGAGTTGATATACTAAACAAGTTTGGCATAAATAAAATGTTGTATTATTTTGTTAAGCAAGTACATCGAGTTTTGTTATTGTTCTACTGTTTGTAATAAAATTATTAATTTCATGTTGCAATGTCTTGGTTGAAGGCAGGGGAATTTAAAAGAGGATCAAAATTGGAAACTAATGACAAAAATGAAGTGAAGGATTGGAAGATGGTATATTTAAATTAGTGAAACTTATATGGATAACTGTATATAAAGTCTCTTGTTCCATTCTTGTGCTTAAATTATTTAAGTTTTGAATTTGGCACTAATATGTTTATTTCAATCCAAATTTTCATCTGGTGGATTTAACGGGAGATGATATAGCAAAGGTGATGTGATATCAATTAATTCAACAGAATGAACTGTTCTCATAGACATTGAAATCTTTAAATGGTTTGGCTGCAAGCAAGGTGGTGAATCAAGGATGTTACATTTAGGTATAAATATAACTACTCTTTTTGTTGAATGATAAATCAAACTAATTGTAGCTTTCTTTATTCTCCAGCACTGCACTGCTGCGGCTTGCAAATATATACACTGTTAGTTCCATCATTGAAAGCATATAAAAGCAAGCTGGGCTTTGTTAAAAGTATTGTCTCCTAAACAGATGTATCATTATGTTTAAGATGGAACATTTTTGTATTTACAGTGGATGGTAGAAGAAAGTCTTTGAAAGTGATGAAGCCGTGGCTGTGACCATCAAAATGTTGTTGGCCAGGTGGTAATGAAGTTGCTCAAACTCATTTGATAATATTGTAATTCTTTATTTAAGAATGTTTTTAAGTACAATTTGGGAAGAAATTTATTTTGTAAACAGGTTAGACTCCTTGTATGGTATGTGTGAGCTTTATAGCTGAAGCTTTTGTTGAGTGGTGATATTAATTTTTTCCGTACACAAGTCTTAATGGCCACTGAAAATAATTTGCAGATACAAGAGGAATCTTCAAATGGGCTAGCCATGAAATCAAGTGGACTCTGGCTTACACATGGTGATATAAAAACCCATTAAGCCCAAGTCAATTAAAGGGCTGGGCCAACAATAACAATATAGGCTTAATGGGTTGCCAATTTAATTTCTTTTTATAGCTTTATACATGTACTACTGGATTTTCTGGTTATCACCCCAATTATGCTAAATTACTTAAATCAATTCTTTAATTATTCTTTCAATAAATCTTTTGGGATTTAAACCTATTGTTTAATTGCATCAGATACTTTCTTTGTACGGACATTCACAATTCATCAATTCTTTAATCCAAAAGGCAAAAATTATAGGAGCCACCAACACGATCATGTTAGGGACAATGGCAGAAAAAGAGTCTTGGTCACTATATTGTCAAATTGCATTTCTGGTGAAGCTAGTGAAAGATCAGAAGATATTGGTAGAAAATTTGTAGCTAAATGTAAGGGCTTGCCTCTTGCTATATATATATATTGGTTGTAACCAGGGGTATTTGGGCATAGCATTATTCTTAGATAATTTATTAAGGTTTATAACGATATATGCTATCTCTAAGCTCATATACTTTATAATTTGAGTGTAGTAATATACATCTTAAAGTTACCTCAAAAGTTTCATTCCCATTTTATATGTGTATTCTACATAGCATCATAGTGTTGAGATGCAAGTGAAATCGTGATTTGATAAATGACACTTCACATAGGATATGAATTTTGGAATATATTTTGGGACGTATGCCGTTAAAGTCTTCTTTTCAAAATGCTTGACAGTCAATGATAATGCTTAGAGGACGAGACTTATTTTCCATAGGCATCAATAATGAAAACAAAAATTGCGTAGTCTTGTGGTTAAGTATCAAGATGAAAGCCACCTGTTGACTCCATCCAAATTATTTGATAACTTAAGTCTACGATAATTACAATTTGGTGTCTATGATAAAAATAACACTTCTTTGGGTGATGATATTGGAGAAATCACTAGAGAAATAAAACATATGGTACGTTTGAGGTATCTTGCTTTACCTTATAATGAGAATTTAAAAAAATTGCCGAAGGAATTGTGTGATTTATATAATGTACAAACGTTAAACATCGCCAATTGTTATTGTCTAATAAATTACCTCAAGAGATGGGAAGGTTAATCAACTTGAGGCATTTTATAATTAATTCTCTTATAATAGAATACATGCCAAAAGGAATTGAAGGATTAACTTGTCTTCTGTAACACCCACATCAAGGTACGTAATTTTATTTTTGCCCTAATATCCTTAGTTGGATTTCTTTGAAGTTATCTTAGACAAATGTGAAGGAAAAATCCTTAAAACTTCATTAGGGGTAAAAATTGTCTTTTCACTCATAACTAGATGAAAAAGTGGGAAGTGAAAGAAAGCAAAATAATGTGAAGAAGATAATAAAAATGAGGGTATTTTGGTAATTGACTAAAGGATATAGATGAAATTTCATAGAAAGTGCAAGGGCAAAATAGGAATACATACATATAATATTAGATATAAGGTTTCATTGAAGAAACCCTAGCCATATTTTCAGCCCTTGTACACGCCACCCTCGCCCCATTTTCTCTCAATTTTCTTCACTAAATTTCAAAGGGAACTCATAGGATTTGGCTTGGATTTTTATAGATTTTCAATCCTAAAGCCATCCAAAGGTAAGATTCTAGCACAAGAAGTGTGATTAAACTTTAAAGTTTTAAATTCTAATGGTTTTTATATGATCTAGGTCCAAGAGGAAGAGATTTTTAGCAAAAGGCGGTGATATCACACATTCAAAGTAAGTAAACTCAATTTTAATCTTGATTTGAGCAAGGCTTGTGTAGAATGATTCTTGCATGTTTGTATGTATTTTTTTGTGAGAATTGTTGACTGTTTTTTATGTTGAATGATGTATAATTTCCAGCCATGAGAAGTGGTACTTAAGTATGTGATGAATTGGTGGAATTATGGAAGAATTTGTGAAGTGTTGAGAATTGTTGAAAACGGCCAGGTTTGATGCTATAGTTAGTGAGTTTTTGGCTCAAATTTTGGTGGATTTTGAGAGATGTGAAAGTGTAGCCAACATGGTAGTTGCATGTGCATATGAAGTGTTTGATAAAAATCCAAAGAGAAAATGCATGCATGAGTTGGCAAAACCTTATTGAACAAAGGGTTAGAGAAACGTAAGAATTGAAGTAGAAAGATTATGCTTGAGCTTAACCAAGTGTAAATGTTAGTATTCAAGAGTGCATATTGTTATGCCAAAAATTAGAATATCACTTGGTCATGTTAGTTCCATGAGAGAAATGCCCATAGTGTTTGGTTCTAGTCACTTGAACCTTTACTACTTCTTAAATAGCACATAAAAGTGTTAGAGAAAAATTGCATATTAAAGTGTTACTTTGATATGGCACTTGAGATAGTAGAGAATGGTAGAATATGTCATGACATACAATTATGCCATAATGAATTTTCAAGTTTGTGTATGTGAACTTGGAAAGAACATCAAAGAATGGGCTTGATCATGCATATATTGGGCATATGTTTTATATATAGCCTTGTTTTGATAAATGAGAATATTAAAGAATATGTTAGCAAAGAATGAGAAAAAGAAAATGGCTTGTAGATTTCTTTTTAGCTAACATGCAAGTATGTATATTTTCTCATTTACTAAAGAATGCAAGTGTAGAATTTCTATAGCTTGGAAATTTATTTTGAGATGTGTATAGTATCTCTTTCTATTCTCTTTCTACAGCATGTTACGATATAAGGTTGTTGCGATGGGGAACCCGTGAGTAACAGAGATGCCCACATGCACGCTGACATCAGTGAGCGGCCTTAGCAGAGAGATACAGTATTTGTACAATCCGTCAGCAGTATATATGGATGAGGACTGTACCCAGCAGAAAATATCTACATGCACACAGCCATCAGTGAGCAGCCACAGCAGAGAGATACAACATTTATACAGTCTGTCAACAGTGCATGTAGGTGAGGATTGTACCCACTCACATGGCCAGGGTTCCAAATCCATGCCTCAACCTAGTCCGATTGGCAAACCAGAAGAGAAACAAAATAAGAAAGAGATACAACATAAGAGACAGAAAACTGAAAAGAAAAGAAAGTTCTTTTCTTAGGACAATTTATTATTCTGCATATGTATTATGCTACTTACATGATTCAGTATTTTTTATGTGCTGGATGATGTACAGTTTTATTCATTGTCTTTACATGTTGATAAGTAGCAAATCAGAATATCATAAAAGAATGTAGAATATTATCAAAGATTAAAGCGAGAAAAGGAAAATCAGAACATGAGTAATGGAGGAAAAACAGTAGTGCAATTTGGTTTACTTATTGAGCAATTAGTGCTCACTCTGTTATTCTACTGTTTTGTAGGTACTTAATGATTTACGATCGGGTGGGACGTCAAGAAGCAGAGGGGTTTGGCGGCACTGTCCAAGACTACCTTGTACTTATTAAGTATATCAGTTATTTTGAGTATATACTTATATGAATTAAAATTAGAATTTTCGGATTTTACATTTATTATATATGTTTACAAAAGTTATTTAGTAGATTTTGTCATATATTTCTTAAAGAATTACTAGCTAGAGAGTATATTACATCTTCAAACTTTGGAAAATTTTGTATTGAGTAGTAGTAGCCATGGCGGTAAAGCATGAAGTATTGAAACTTTGAAAAACTTGATAAATCTTTGGCGTCTTGGTATTTTGGGGTTAGAAAATGTGGGAGATGTGGGTGAAGTTAAGCAAACCTTAAGAATAAGAAAAACCTCCTCTCTTTATTTTTAGATTTTACAACTCGAGTTGATCAATGAAAATGGATGAGAGAGATGAAATGGATGTTGAGGCCTTAGAACCACCTCCAATAGGATTGTTGATGCGAAATTCCATACTGATTAAAATGTCGAGATGTGAACACGAGTCAATTAGTTGATTGTAAGGGGAAAGGGTGTTTGTAATTGTAGGAGAAAAGGCAGTAAATATAAGTGGGGCCCGTCCGGGGGAGGGGAGTGTTGGAGTTAGAGATGGGCGTTTGCCCCAGCCCTGCTGGGATCCGGACCGACCCAGCCCGAATGGGGCGGGGAATCCTCGAAAAATTCAGGGATAGGGCTAGGGATGGTCCTCAGAAAAATCCCCGCACCTAGAGACGGGCCAAGGTAGGGGATAGGACAATCCCTGGCCTGACCGGACCCACTCCGCCCCATCCCCATGAAGCCCCACTTGCCCCGTCCCTCTTTTTTGAGAATTTTGTGTTTTTTTTTTCGTTCCCTCTGCGAGATTGTATAAAAACTTAGAGTTTAAATCATGGTTTTAAGTAATGTATCTACATTTATGATATTTACTTTTATAATACTTTCTAATATTTGTATTAAATTTATAGAAAAATAATTTAAACGAGGGAGTCTAATAATTAAATATGTGTATTATTACTTTGTGAATTTCACAAAATAATAATACATGGCCAAAAAATTTTTTTGATTAGATTATTATAATTTACCAAACCAATATATTATTAGGTTTATGTTGCAATGGATGATTTGAGTATATTATGAGGTTTATGTTACAGCATGACGGATGTTTATATTTTATTGCTTTGAAATCCATGAGCATGTTTCAATTTTTGTCAAGAAATAGTTGTTATTCACCATATTCATATCTATTCTCAGCGAAATTTTCTTTCAGATATTTATTTTATGAATTTTAGTAGATAAGACTATTTCAATGGAACATTACAATGCCTCAGCAACATAAAGCATTAGAATGTGAAATCTAAATTCCTTTATTTAATGCTATATAGAAAATGTGTCACTAACTTAGTAACAATTAAATTAGTTTATAGTGGTAGTTATGTATTGCTTCTTAAATCTTAATTTAAATTTTATAAGAAATTGTTGATTTTATATTTTCTTACCTTAAATTTAGCTTTTTTAATGAATTAACTACTAAAATTAAGCAATCAAATATAGTACCTACTAACGTGTTAGTTTCTCATAATTAAAATAATTTAATATCATTGTCATGAAAATATGCGAAAAAATTTTAATCTACACAGGATAAAAATCATCGTTTGGGGGATAAATTCTCACAGGAAAAAATTCTCTACGAAACCTCATTCATCAAGTCGGGTCGGGATGGGATGAAAGTGATTCTATCCCCACAGGTCAAGGATAGTCATAAGAAAAATCCCTGTCTACGGGACGGTCATGGGAATGGGTCCCCGACCCCGCGCCCATCCCTAGTTGGAGTGTTGAAAACGTGAGAGTGAATGAGTGTTTTAAGTTTTAATTAAAGATGGTGAGAGTTTCAAGGAATTAAATGCAAAGCATGCGTGCATCTCTGTTTGTCAGTTTTTCTGACCTTTTTATTTCTTATTTTTTCTCTCTCACTCTCTACCCCTCTGGTTTTAGTTTTAAAATTTTGGAAAAACCGCTTCCCATTAACAGTTCAAAAGTACAATTAAACCATTAACCGAACCCTTTTTTTGTTTTTTTTTTTTTTTTAAACCAAAACCAAACCAGTTGTTTTGAAAAACCGGTTTCGATCCAATTTTTTGGTTTGGTTCGATTTTCGGTTTTTTTTTTCAATCTTACCATTTATTGGTAATTTCTTTTTTCTTTCGTTTGTTGTTTGGGTTCTCAACTTCTCATTAATTCACCTTTATAGTTTTTACTATTGCATTTGTTTTGTATAGTTGGTATTTGATTTTGACACTAATTATTCACACGCAGGGAGAGATTTAGCCACTTTTTGGGTGAGTCATGGGCCACCCTCAAATTTTTTTTTTAAAATATTAATATGTATAATTTATATATTTTGGCCCACCCTAATAAAAATATTAATGGACAAAAATATTAATGTATAATTAATTTTTATTTTGGCCCACCCTAAAAGAAATTCCTGGATCCGTTACTGTTCGCACATGTAAAATGCTAAAATGACTTAGAAGTCACACATGTAAAATGCTACTTTTTTCGGCATTCCATTTTCCTTGAGGATATTGAACTACTATGCATTGGTTTTGATTTGAGTTATCAAGTTTATGCACGCAATGTGTTGGAAAGATGAAATGGATGAACCAAGGCTTGCATTTCAGGGGACCTATGGATATTGCTACTAAATGTTCTCAAGAGTGTAGATGGCCTCATCTTTTTACGAGATTGTTGCGTACAAATATAATCTGCGCTGTCACTTAGAAAGGGGAACGACTTACACCTACCTAGGGTAGGTGATGAGAATGCAAAATGTCATATTTACCCCCCTTAATGTCTAGTCTTTTATACTTATTTGTTGCCTAAAATATACAGATTATTATTCTATTTTAATTTAGGAAGCAAATGGGAGCGTTAATTGCAAAACGGAACTAATTAAGTGAATTCGGACAGTTTCGACACTGCTTCGTAATCTGGGCATAACTCTCTCATCCGAGCTCCGATTGAGATGATTCAAAATGTTGTGGAACGCTAAGAAAGAGATCTACAAGTTACTGTTTTGAGTTTGGAGAGATACTCGCTGCATCAAGGTGGTAATAGGGCTTAAAGTTGACACAACTGCACTGACGACGTTCTGGAACATTTTGCCTTGTCATGCAAATCAATTGGGCAGTTTATTATTGGAAGATTTGAAGACATGTGGCACGCAAGTTACAGCTCAGAATCACCACTTTCCTATTTTATTTTAGGACTTTATCTTGTTTTTCAATTAATTAGAATCAAATTAGGATTAATGTTATTTTAGGATATTAGAATATTTCTTTTAGGAGATTTAGTGGAATTCAAATACTTAAACTGGATATTTTTTAAGGAGAGCAGATTAGGTTTGGAGGGAGACGCCTCTCTCTTGTCTTCTCTGTAACTTTTCCTCTGTAATTTCGTGATGGCCATGAGAGGCTAATTTTTATAACTTGGTCGAAGGAAACAGAGACCTCGGAATCAATAACTGTGAGATCTAATCCGTTTTATTTCAGTGCTCAATTTTATGCTTTGAGTATTGGATGTTATTTTGTGCATATTTTCGTGATTGATGCATTTAATTGCTAGGAGGCCTACTAGGTTATTATTTGTTACAATCTACTGCTAAGTTAGATATCAAATCTGTAATTGCTTGATCCCTCTAACTTGTGAAGCAATTAGGGTTAATAATTTGCTGCGTCAGGAATTAGTAATCTTAAGAAGAACATTCAACTAAATTAAATACAACCGCTTGAGTTTGTGTTGTTTAGCTTCATCGATCTCTCTAATTCTTAAGGCTGCCACTAGATTAAATCTTGAGCGCTTGTCTAGGGTTGTTTAGTGGTAAGATTAATTAAGAACGCTTGTTTCCTAATTAATTACAATTAAGGAGAGATAGGAAAATAATTCCAATGGTGAATATTCAGAGTAAGAATTGATTTACTTTTGCATCAATGATCAGTTGTAAGGTTCCGATGGTAGATGTTGACAGAGACCAAGTTTCGTTATATTAATTGATTTCGAATTGAATTGTTTTTTTGTTTTTGTTTTTGCTAAGATTGTTTTCTGTTTTACTCAAAACCCCCAGCCTTATTCACATNTGCTTAGAGATTACAGGTTATGAGTTATATTGGACACAAATGAACGAATAATGAAAATTTGTTAGGGGTGTATTTGTAAACTTATAAGGTATTTTTGTTATTTTTTAAACTAATAGGGGGGTAATTGAGTTTTTACAGGGTACCCTGGAAAGGAACCGGAACCTACATTTTAGGTTCCGGTTCCTTGAATTGAAGAACCTGCACTGTGCGGTTCCAGTTCCGGTTCCTTTTTTTGGGAACCTGCATTGTGCGGTTCCGGTTCCGGTTCCCCCGGAAAATGCAGGGTACCCGGAACCGCTCACCCCTACGGCAAATGGCCAACTTTTCCCTGTTTTGGTAGCAAATTTTCAAAGTAAACATAAGATATATACAAAGAAAGCAACAGTATAAATATACTCATTTGTGGCTGAAAATTGAATTTTTTCATGATCGGTACCCAAATCATTCATACAAAAGAACATAATTTGTAATGAAATTCAGTATCAATTAATTCTTCATGCTTTAAACAGAAACCATGAATTCAGTACAGCGAACTGTGTTTATAGGAAAGATATACAACTGAAACTTCAAACTTTAAATCACATTTTAAAAACTGAGTAGTTTCCATATGCACATCCATAGCTGCAAAAGTCAAAAACAGGCACAAAATTGTCCTCTTCTCCATCCTGCAAATCTACAAAATTAATTGATAATGAGTTAGAACATATTTGGAAGAAACAGAAACTACAGAAAATTTTCAGATGTGATATCTACCCGTAGTTTGATGAGTGTTGCAGTTAACTTATCTATTAGATTCCCATAATTCAACTGCTACTGTAATACTAATGCATGCAAATTTCACAGAACTTACTTACCTAAAGACAAACTAACCTTGGGCATTCCCAAGGGACAAGACTATACAAAAAGAGAAAAGCTGAGCCAAGTACACTAGGTCCAACAGACCAGGCAAAACCCAAAAAAAAAAAAAAAAAAAACAGAGGAAACTGTCACGTTAACAAGTAGCCTACAAAAGCCAATCAAAAAACTAGGCTCTAGCATCTTGTCCCTCCAAAACAAAAAACAGAAGCTGATACATTAACAGATCTACACCTAAGGCCTAAGACACCACCTAACAGCCTGTACATAACGCCTATCCTTTATGGAAGAACTACCAAAGTAACAGGCCCAAATAACCAACTTAATATCCTCCTACACCATTTACTGAACTCTTCCAAACGTCCACAAAGCTTCTTCTCATGTATTGCCGCAAAGTTTTGTGAATCAGCTTCATCAAAAATCTGTCAAACCACAAATCTGGAAGAGACACATCCATCCCAAATAATTTCACCCATGCCCATTAAACTACACTAAAAATCATCCATCCAACCCAAACCTCATTGATTAAAGGATTTTACAAACACAAATCTTGCACATAAACATATCACATTACAGGTAAGTTACAATACACACCTATTCTTCTTCGTTGTTGTCCTGGAGGTTCAGGTGGCAAACAAAAACAACCTACTGTTGCAGCAAACAAAAGAACTTCCCAATTGCATTACTGAGTTGGTTGACCTATTAAGAGAAGTAAGAATAATGTTAGCGAAGGTAAAAAGTAATTGACATAAATAATATACGGTTTAAAATAGTTGTAAGTACCCCTTGAACTTGAAGCTTGGGACAAGTTTGACATCTGAGTTGAAAAAGGCTTTGAAGATGCTACAAATCGAGCTGCTAAAAAGGGTGCAGTCATTGTGGGCACAAAGGTTTGTTGCAAATGAAAAAATAGAAATCAGTATTAGAAGAAAAAATATGATGAAATTGATTTTATTCATACCGTTTGGCTGGATTTTATTCATTACACAGTCTAGCACATAATTATACAATGAGATCGGTACGTGGCATTGTTAACTGGGGGATCAACCTATAAACTTATAGGCCTCTGCACCATGAAGGGGTACAGAGTACCCTTTCCCGCTAGTAGCAGTGCACCCCCAGTTTTCCGGCTGATATACCATACCTCATTAACAAAATGTAGTACCGAACATCACAAATGAAGAAAAGGAATGTCATATTCAGATAAAAATGGTACAATAACTGACAAGTAGTAACTCTTATTTAAAAAATAAATATATGAATGACTTACAATGTCATAATCTAACAAATTCATCCAATGAACAATGTCACTTGTGCAAGTGAAAGCATTCTATGAATCACAAAATGCTGTCATGTTCAATTAAAAATTACAAACTATATCATGTTACCTAAATTATATATAAATATATGTGTTAAAAGATAAGATAAACACAACAGATAATACATTAATGAACTAGATCAAATGAGTTAAAGAATGAAGGAATCCTTTGGTGAGTTTTAGGAGCAATTATGCACCTAAAATAGTCGGGTGAATCAAGCACAAGGGAGGATAAATGGTCCTCTCTCTATCCAATAGGCTATGTCTGAACAAATTCTAAACAACAATCCATCCTCCAAATGAACTCACTTGCTACCGAAAACCTCAAGCAAGATCCAGGTTACTATATGCTGCTCGGTATATAGACACTATTGGCCACAAAACTTGATGGAAATTTCTTGTCTGATATGAAAGATCTTCTGAAAACGGTTTGTTAAAATCACATCCAATTGTAACTCTTAACAATTTCTGAGAAAATGCATAATCAATATAATATATTAGACATTGTCAAAGACCAAGTTGCATTCACACTTATATCGAGAAAAATCAACAGAACATATTGCGAAACTTCCTGGATATTAGATATTAGTATTTAAGAGAAGTTATTGGTTACTTATCCACTAATTAATCTAGGAGAAAAAAAAAAAAAAAAAAAAAACAAAGGAAAACAGGTAACAATTTCCTGGAAAATAAGGATGAGATTACAAGAAATAGCCTATAATTAAGAGATAAAAAAATGATCTCTTCACATCAGAACAACACTTCAGATTACTATGTTAATTTTTTATTATTTAACACTCACCAAACACAATAAAAGAAGACTTCATTTTTGTATTGATTTGTATGAATCTGCCACAACGTACAATAATTAAAGGTGAGGCCTGAATCGATTCTTGTGAAATTGCATAGAAAAAACTTGAGCCCATCGGCCATCACAGAACACGTTTTGTTGGAAATTCAAAACACGTTATCCAATTGAACCAGCAACCATCAGTTCAATTGTCTTAATCTGCCACTTGTAAAATTTTGCTAGGAAGGATACCCAGGTTTCAACTCTGATATAAACAAACCTTAAACCAAACAAACAAACAAAAAAAAAAAAAAAAAACCTCAAAAAAAAAACCAAACATGCAAAAGGCACAAAAGCTTCAGATTCAAAATTTACTTGTTACTTTTGTCCTTTAACATTTAGTAGTGCACTGAAATAAGAAAAAACTAAGAACAGATAAGAAAAACCAAGAACAAACTTTCCCTCAGGAAATAATTTTCAGAAAACACTACAGACACACACATATACGACAACTAGCATACTCATACCCACTTAGTGGTGCATTGAAATATGAAAAAAATGCTGATGAATATCACCTACTCTGTTAACCCCTCGATTTCCGTTGTTTGGTTGTCGCCAACGATATATGTCGTTACTAGTCGTCCTCCATCATTAATAATGCTAGCATTAGTTCATTCGTCCTCCACCGTCGTCGTTACCCCATGATTCTCTCACTCAGACGTCGTATATCGTCTTTGTTTAGGATTTATTGCTGTTCAGTGAAACTCACTCTGCCACTGTCATCCGTTTCCGTTTCACTAGTCGTCGTCGATGGTTTCCCGTTCCCACGATCTTTCTCCAAATGATGGTAGTAGCTTAGTTCATAAACTCCTTCAGAGAGTCAGAGACAAACAACGAAAAGGCAAAAGATTTTTGTTTATTTGGGTTTTTAGCAAAGTCAATATTAGGGGGACAGGTGTCAGTATCCTAAGCAAAAATGTTCCAAAAAATGGTTAGCTGAGTATTTAAAATTTAAAAGTGTGGTGATTGTACATGAAATTACTATATTATCGTTTTGTTAACGAAAATCAGTAATAACACATGACGAAAAGTATTAGTTTATTGTTTCCAAACCTTTTAGGTATCAATTTATCATTACAGTAAACTTTGGATAGATATAAGTCGTTCGGCCTCATAACGATAAACAAACACACACACATATATAGAGAATTTTTCTCTTATCAGGACATCTGATAATTTTTGTCATCATTAGTTTAAATTTGAGACATTGGATTCTATTGATGGTTGAGATTTATCTAGATAAAGAAAACACTTAATATTATGGTTGTACAAAATTTAATTTTCTCTCACCTTATCTTTTTCACTTTCTCTCTCTCGTAAATTCTGTATGGTAACTAATTTTAAATATGAATGAATATCAACCATCCGAAAAATCTAACGCCTCAAATTTAATGTCATGATTAAAGAAAATATCAAGATGTCTTGATAAGGGAAAATATATATATATTTTTTAAATATGAATGAATTTCAACCATCCGAAAAATCTAACGCCTCAAATTTAATGTCCTGATTAAAGAAAATATCAAGATGTCTTGATAAGAGAAAATATATATAATCTCATATGTTTGCCGCTTTAATAGATAGCACAAAACCCCCACTCCGTTAATAATTGTTAATAAAAATCTATTAGTTGTTAAAAATAACCTTGTTACCTTTTGAGTAGGGCTAAGTTTACAACCTAATCTCACAATCTCCAACATGACAGTTCACAATTGAACAACCATGATCCATAGCAAACAAACAAGACCCATTTACTGATCTCACAACCTTGTCTCACATATTCCGTTTGTGTTTATACCAAGGTGCATTACACGTTCAGAATTGAAAGTTTAGCATAATCATGGTTAGAATCATTTTTGTTTGATCAACAGATTGAATTACAAGTCCACTGCCACTCCCAAATATTAACATATTAAACCAAAAAAAGAAAAAAAGAAAAAGAAAAAAAAATGACAAACATATGGGGGTTTTCTGTATATATTTATGTTTCAAAATGTCTCTATTGAAAGGAAAAGTTGCAGTGATGAAGTATTTCAATTTTAATTAGGTACGCGATTCTCAAAAACTCGGCCTTTCTTCATTTTAAAGGCTAAAGGTTATAAAAAAAAATTTATAATAACGTAAAATAAAAAAGGGTTATCGAAAATATTTCACACAAATTTCAAGGTAAAAAATAAAAAAACTGAAATTTAGTATCAAGTTAGCTAATGCGTAGCTTGATATTTTTACTTTTGTAAATACATGATATTATGGTGAATTTACAGAAGTAGGTGGGATCAAATAAAGCAAAAAATTATGGTGTATCTTTTTGTGACCTTTGAGATTTATTTGCACTGGTTATTTATTAAGTTGAACGTAATTTCCTAATTTATATAAATTTAGATAAAGGGACTGTACCCTTGATAAGATGAAAGAAAAATCAGGAAGAAAAATGTTGAAAATTTATAGGAGTATTTAGAATATGTGCGTATCGAAATTTATGCATTCGTTTAGAACTTAGAATATGAAAATGCATGGTAAAAGTAATTAGAATGCAAGGGAAAGACACTTCAACGAACCAATGAATCAACAGAAGTTCCCTTCATTTGTTGACAGATATTAATCGGCGGCAGCAAAATCTGGAACGATGTGAAAGGTCACATTGGAACCTAGAGGAACACTGACATTAGCCGACAAAAAACAACTACTTTTTGATAGCATCGATGCTACTTTGCACGGTAAGTATTCACGTATTTTTTTTCTTGCTTGATTTTAATCTTAAATTTTTTGTTCTACATCTATTATGTAGCATGATAACATGATATAATGACCATGGATTAATATCTGTTAAAGAGAATGTGTATAATGGAGTGGTACTGGTAAGTGTAGTGCAGTTTTGTTTAAAACCAAATAGTGCAATTTTGGTTAAGTGGAGATGATAAAGAGAATGTGTATAATGGAGTGGTACTGATAAGTGTAGTGCAGATTTGTTCAAGGGGAAATGTTAAGAAGGAGGTGTAATATGGATTGTTACTGGTTGTTATTGGTAAGTGTAGTGTAGTTTTGTTTAAGGGGAGATGTTGAGAAGAATGTGTAATATGGATTGTTACTGATGTGGATTGATACTGGTTGTTACTGGTAAGTGTAGTGCAGTTTTGTTTAAGGGGAGATGTTAAGAAGAATGTGTATAATGTGATCTATCAGGGATCTGACTGCAATCTTTACAAGTTTCAGTTTAGTAATTAGGTGTACTTTGTAATTTTTACAAGTAATGATGTTTCTTCTGCAATTTGTAAAAGAGTAGCTAATACGCTGCGTTTTGTAATAAGGGCAATATAAATTAGCCCGCCTGGTTTCTGTTTTGGCAGTAAGTGAAATATCAAGTTTCCAGAAGCATTTCTATTTTACTCTTTAGCTTTTCCTGTTTTCGTTTTCTTGTTTCTTCCTTCGGTGATCTTGAAATTCTTCAATATCTGTTTGGATAAAGTAAGTAAATGCACAAAGTACATATTGTTGATGCTCGATTTTGACACCAACTAAACACACGTGTGAAATGCTGAGTTGACCCAGAAGACACACGTGAATGAGAGAATGGGAATGATAAAGAGATGGAGAAACGATTCCTACATCTATTGGTATTGTATTGATATATGAGATCAGGTCGAGTCTAGCGAGCTGATTTACACGTGATTACAAGAGAGAGAGAGAGAGAATGTATGTATACTATTCTAGAGAGAAATTAGCTAATCCCACAAACAGGAGAGGAACTCTTTATTTATAGTGGGATGAGTTGAGGTAATGATTACTAAATCTATGAGTGGGTCAGATTGCCATGCAAATCCTTCCTTGCGTCCCATTGCCACCTGTTCAAGTGATTTACGCGATGCGTGTAGGGATTGGACACGTGGACCTTCTCCAGCCTTTCGTTAGTCTGGCGCACACCCACTGCACTAGCAGGAGCATGCCACTCACGTCATTATGTGACGTGGCTATGCTTGGATGGCTGCAGGATTTACCTAAGCTTTGATCGCTTATGCTGACTAGGTCTGCGTCAGCCCTATTTTTTCAGGCATAATAGAAGTCCCCTAGTTTTTAAGGTTTGAGAATTGAACCTTGGAAACTACATATTATGCCATGACTTGATGCATTTGAAGAGATACTGCTCGACCTGACTTGGTTGCGAAGAGGTCGAGGAAACATTTTTATGCAGGCAACCTGAAATGGCTTTTACTTTAAGGGTCAACGACCTGTTCTTAGACCATATCAGTGCCATGACGATGACTTTGATCTTCATCCGAGGATCACGACCTGATTGCACTTAGCAGAATTTTTGCCAAAGGCAAGGGATCATGATGCTTCGAAATTGACATACATCGAAATCAAAGAGTCACATCACCTCGCGACTGACATGGGACAAGATCGAAGGGTCATGTCGCTTTGCAACTTACAAGACGAAGAGTGCTCTTCATAATGACCTCTTCAGATGATATCTGTTGCACTTTTGTAGCGAATACATTTAATGAAATACTCTTTGCTCTAACAGACGTGTCTTATGCACAATAAGTGCCAGCCATGGGCATTAAATGTGAGCCATACTAAAACGACATTCCCTATCAAAGCATTAAATGCGGATGTGAGCACATTTAATATGGAGGAGGGAGAACGTGTCGTCACTTAAGTGTTGCAATGAAAAAGAACGACGATTTGGTTTCTTGAAGCGTGACGGTCACTCTTCTTCGCTGATCTGCGATACTGGTCACAATCAATGGTGAGATAAGTTTTCTGCCCAAACGTCGTCTGACTTAAGGAAACCAAAGCGCTATTTCTTTCACTATAAAACCCCAAGTTCACTACAGGCAATGTCACAATATCCATCTTCTCAGAGAGAGCAAGAAATTTTCGTGAGCCTTTCAGACTGGTGCACGCCTGATATTTGGAGCAGGAGGATTAATCTTCTCATTCCAAGAGGTAAGGATTGTTCCTTCTGCCACTTTTACTATTTCATGTTTTCAATGGTTGCCATGCGATGATAGTCTGCCGATAATTGATCGGAGATGAAACATTCTCCTTGGGTTGAGCCATGAATGGTGGCTCTAAAAGTATCTGTTAGGGTTTTTCTAAGGTTTAAAGGAGGAAGTATTTACTCTTTCCTCCATGTCATCGTACGAAATAGTGTACGAGGACCAAGTGATTCTTGCATGTCGCTTTTCTTTTCAGACCGCAGAAGAATGGACTCCCCAACGACCAGAACTAAGGAGGGGACTAGTTTGCCTGTACAGGATGCTCTTGCTGATCCCCCTCAAGAAATCTTGTCGATAATTACTATCTAGGAGATTCAAAAGGTGGTAGACCAATACGCTCTCAACATGAAGGTCTTCCGGGATAGGATACACACAGCTCGGAGTTTGCCACGAGGGATGGCTACGATCTCCAAGAACATATTCAAGAGTGGAGTATTGATCCCCTTCCACCCTTTTGCTTTTGTTAGGTCGATCCTCGATCATTTCAAGAGCGCACCATTACAGAACGCGTACATGATAGCCATGGCTATGTACATTGCATGCGGCGAAAACGGATTGGACGAGCTAATCGCGCTAGAGCTCGGTTGCTCGTACATTCGGAAAAAGAGTAAGGACAAGGATTCCTACTATCTTTCCAAGCGACCTACCATTGAAGTGGGAATACATAGTTACCCGAACAATGTAGGGGCATACGAGACAAAATTCTTTTTCTTTCATCATGATGGCATTTGCCATTTTTAGGAGCCCAGTAGGTTCTCCTTTCTTTTGAGTTTGTGAACTTACTTATGCTCTTCGCTAACAAGCTCTTTGTTTCTTTGCAGTTAAT